ACACGAGCCGCGACGGGCGAATTCCCGCCAAATACGCGGTTTTAATTAGGCGAAGTATCGTAATTAGCAGGAACGTTATGAACTTACTAACAAGTTCGTGCTTGCCTTCGTTCGGGACTTCTGCCTGTAATGGCTCGCGCGCTGACGCCGATATTAATAATCCACTAATTAAGATAATTCGGCGATTAAACGCCCGCCGAAGAACGCTCATTAGAAAGTCAATTCGAAAACAGGACCAGCAATTACCCATCCTACGGGCGTAAGTCGTGCGCTCGTAAAATAACGAGCCGGCGCGGCGAATTACGCGGCCGAGCGACCGGGACGAAAGCGTCCCGGTGAGCGTTCCATGCGAATGGATTCGATTTGCATATGACCGATTTATTTCGATTAACTGCGAGACGTAACTTTTAAGTAACCATCCGTCTCTTTTCCGGGCTGAGAGATCGGAGAGGAACGGGGAATCGATTAATTTTCATCCTAGTTCGAACGACTCCCCGTCACGCCCCGGGAATTAAAATTAAAAAGCGACAAAGACCCGGATGAATTTTAACTACAATTTAACTACAGTCTCGTTTTCTCACGTCGTCTCTCTCTCAGTCTCTCTCTCTCTCTCTTTTAAACCAAATAAAACTAGAGTTAACTGATGTCGGTGGAACCGCGTTCTCAGAGAGAAAGAGCGAACATAGCGGGAAAGAAAAAGCTGTCGCGTTTTCGCGCGACGTTTCCGGGATAGCAGTTTTAGACATTCGATTAATCTTAGATCCAAAACGCGGGCGAATGAAAGGTTCGAGCGACGGCGTATTACTACATATTGGCGCACGGACTCGGATCGCCATACGGCCCTCCGAGGATATCCCGCGTTATTCGAAGACCCTCTCGAAGAGCCTCTTCGGGTTTAAGTGGCTTTGCGCGAGCGGATATTGTGGATCTCTAATTTATGACGAAGGCGGAATGCGAAAGGAATTTCTATGGCAGCTCGGAAGGACCTCCTGCAACGTGTTACCTAAGAGGTAACGGGAGAACGGCCGAGACGCCCGCCCGTGTGAATTATTTGACTAAAGAACGGCGAAACGGCCCTCCCATAATTCCCGAAAGAACGCCACACGGCGCAGGTGCTAATTATTTTGCAGCGCTAATTATCGAAATAGTTGCCTCTCCTCGGCTGCGAGAGCTTAAAGAGGAGACGACTCCAAGCCCCAGGTTCGAATGCCCGCGTTGCGTTGACTCGAGGAGGGGAGGAGAGTTCGTATATTTTTCCTATTATCTCTATCAGCAGATCCTCTCTCGTCCTTTCTTTCTTTCGTCCTTTCTCTTTTTTATCTCTCATAAGACCGCTCCTTCGCGACACTTCCATTGTGGCGATTATGAAATACTGTAATGACACGACCTCGTCACGCAAAATGTATGACGACTCTCAAAGACTGTAAGCTTCTCTTCTTTTTCAGAATTGGGTCATTCCAGACTTCCACTTTAACAAAACCGTTGGTTCCCCCTATAATCCCTTCTTTCTGCTGGATTCCCGAGCGCGGATATATATACATACAGCCACAGTTATAAATACTCGTTTCAACATTCGCGGGCCGTTATAGCATTACTTAAACTGACTCGATGCTCCTTACGGTAAAGTATCTTATTACTAAGTTCGTTGTAAGTATCTTATTGCCGGTCGTTAAAATGGTTAAGCTTTGCGTCTCTCTCGGAATTCAAATGCAAAGAGCAAATTACAATCCGTCGACGCAACGTATGCCTTTTTAAACGCGCGATATTACACGAAAAGATTTCTCTGAGGCAAATAATTTTAGGAATATGTGTACGTTTATTTAAGTTTGCATGAATTCACGTACAATGAGAGATAAAAACTACAGAGCAAAGTTGGATAATGGAAAAGTTAATAATCTAGACGTTTTTTCGGCGCCATTTTAATTCACCTATGCACGAAATAACGTTTTATTTGCGGTTTTACCGTCGTTATACCTGCATATTAAAATAATGATAAAGTTGTTAACACTTGCATCTTCAACACGAAGGAAATAACTTTTAGATCTCACGGAACTATTAAGCCCCAATGCAAGAGTACAATTGACGCATAACGCGTTTGTAATCCTCGAAAACCGCGACTTACGTTACGAAGAACTTACACGAGCGCGATTTTAAGCCTTGCACGAAACATCCGTTCTTAGTTTTGGTATGAATAGTTATTCCGACACAGTAGTGCTCTGATTTGGGAGATACATCTACATCTATGAAGCAGCATTACAACAGAGTGGCCGCGTATAATGAAGTGTACACGTGCAATGTGGCGCAACGCCGCGCCACTCTCTTGATAATGCTCTTGCATATGTATTTCTAACGAATTTCGGAAACGTGGCGCGAATATCTCGTGTTTTCTAGGCCGTAAATACACCCTGCATCAACTCGTCGAATATAAATCATAGCGTGGTCGGGGAGGAATTGTAGAAAGAAACGTAAGCTAAGAAACCCCGTGCCAAGATAGCCGACCGCAACTGTCTTTTTCTACTGATCCTTTTTCTACTGCAGGTCCGACCGCAAATATTCTTTCCCACTGCTGCCCTGACCACAACCATCATTTTCCACCGAGTCTTTCTTTTTTACTGCGGCTCCGCGCGCGCTATCTCTTTCTACCAATTCTTCTCCTACGACATTCCTTTGCTAGATTCTTTTTTCTTCACACACGAATGCGTGCGTCTTTTGCCAAGTGTTAATTGCATTTCTATGTATAATATTGAGGTAAAACGTGTATAAAATATATAATAAGAATAAGATAGAAAGAAATAAAAAAACATATAGGAAACCTCCAGTCAACATTGGCGATCCGACCGAGCACAACTGTCGATTTCTATTGATTCTTTTTCTACTGCTGGTCAAGCCGCAACTATCTATTTCTACTGATTCTTTCGCTACGGAATTTACTTCTTTGCGGATTCTTTCTTTGAAAATACAAAAGTGAACATCTTGTGCCAACTAGCTAATTGCTTTTTTACTACGTTTCATACACAGAGAAAATATTGAGTAGTATAAAGAATATATTAAAATTATATTTCTTTTACAATATTTCTATATAAAGTTAGATTATATTGAAATTGTAGTATAAATTACTAAATGAATAGTAAATGTAACGAAAGAGACCAAATATGACATATATCCGCATTATATTTTTCAACGACAGTTCTCTAATAAAAAGTGTTTAGTATTTTTAAGTAAAAATATAATAATCTTGATCATAATATCAGTATAGTCCAATTTTATTAAAATTTGATTGTATTTATTACTACAATATTTTCTCCGTTTACATGAAAAATAAACGTGAGCCCGATCTAGCCAAGTTCAATCGCGAATAGCCAGTATTACTAAATGCAAGGAAACTGTAATATCCTTTGAAATATGATCTTCGCTAAATTTACCCAAAATCCAGAATAAAATGGCTGAATGAAATCCTCCCTCTATTTCAGTAAATACAAATTTAAACGTCGCTCCCACCGGAAACCCGATCCATACCGTACAGCGACACTTATCCGTTTCTCTTATTTTATACGCCGCCCAGACACGCGTATATTTTAATATGCAGAAACCAATACGTTATCTTTTATCACGCGCGAGCGAGCTACGTCGCACGGTGAAGCTCGACCTGCAAAAATAGAACGTACGATCGCCGGCCACCGGTCGAAAATGCCAGGAAAAGTTGCGCGCGTAAAGTTTTCCGTATATGGGTCGTCGAAAAATTCCAGGCAACGCCACAAGTTCTCGCTGTGTCTGGCAACCGCAACGTTAGCAAAAGTTCGCCAGCACGCCGGTGAGCCGCGAACGGTCAGCTTTGAGAGTCTCTGTCGCGCGCAGCTTTTCATTAAATACGCATCGTCTTAGTCCGTCCGCCGTTCACATTTTCGTCGCAATGGAGAGAGCGGAAAAGAGAAAGAGAGAAACCACCGTGTGTAATTTCGACGAACATCTCGCGTTTACCGGGCGCGCGTGCACTTAGTGGGATATAAATTTAACGGGTCACGTTCGCGCACTCCCTCCCCTTTCTTTATACGCGCCATCGGTGCCGGACATAAAAGCGACTCTGTACGTAAGAGAGTCGGCAGTGAGCCGTAAGTTTCGCTATCAATTACAAGAAGCGAATCCTCTCCGTTCGACGGAACGAAGGATCGCCGGACGCTACGATGGCCGCCGACGGCGTGCGAAAATTCGATGGAGCCGAGTAGCGAGGGTGGTAACGATCGACTAGTACGGGGTGTCGAGTGCTTCCATTGCGAGAGACGAGCGGGCAGGTGGACGAACGAGCGGACGAGCGAGCGAGTGCGAACGCACGCCTTAACGTTATGCTGACTTCCGTGCTCGTCGAATTGCACAGCTTCATCCGAAAATCCAATACGCTCGAATCTGACGGTCCAACACGCCTCAGTAATTTGAACATGGATCTAAATGGATCCGCCGTAAGACCGTCTATTTCAGGCTAGTTTGGCGCGTGCAAATCCAATTTCTCGATGACGTTCGCGCGCGCTCGTTCGTTCCGTTCGCCCGCACTCGTAATTAGAATAGAAACCATTATAAAATTACCGCGGGAACAGTCGAAAATTTTATCCGATCCCGTCATAAATCGTGCCGAAAGAATTAAGAGTGGCGGATTTTCCGTGTAAATCCGAACCAGACTTTATTCCCCGCGTAATTTCGTGCCCGTCATTGTTAAGTGAAAATTTAATCCTGAAGTGAATTGTTCTCTCTCTTTTTCGTTCTTTCCCTTCTCGTATTATATTTGAAAAATTATCATCCGAGGAAATTTTAGAACAGCGCTTAAAAATTAAGATCGTTACCATCCGATCTCAAAAGTAAAGAATTGTAAAACTTTCGTACGCTTGCTTCCATATTGAGATATGAAATAACTCATACATGCACAATTTATATAAATATTTCGATAATTTTGCAATCTACAATTCAGCGAACACGATCAATCTAAGAACGTATGTTCTCCTGTCTTGCAGGCTACCAGCGATCAAGGAATGCAATCGCTTCATAAACACAGAGCAGCGATGGTCATCAACATATAAACAGTGCATAGATTGGATCCTTGTGGGCCATTTCTAAGCTCAGGTCGGTTGAAACACTTGTTGAACATAGTGGAACTCCTAATAATCCCCTAACCAAATTGTATGCTTCGTATAACCCACCGTCGTTTTGCGATGACGCGAGATTACACGCGTGACGTTGTGCAAAATTTCGCGATTGAATTACCGTATCGTCACCCGGCGGCGGATGAATTTCAGATCGATACATATGTATCTGCAACGACGGACAAGACGTACGAAAGCGTAAAACACGAACGATGTGATTCAGCGCGATCTCTCCGTCCGGTAGAAATTATCGCACGCTCGACTGTTCGCGCACGGTAAAATTCCATCGTCGAATTATCGCGCGAAGATACGACGAAATTTTTACATCGTTGCATCCAAAATTCCCTCACCGAATCGTTTTAAAACTTTCGTACAATTTCCCCGCTTAAATTAAACCATCTTAAAGGGATGTCGGAGTGTTAGAATTCACCAGAATTCACCAAAATTTTGTGGGCACGCTATTCTGGCTATGTAGAATCATAAATCTTTTTGCATGATGATAATACATATAGCCTGCTTTGGTCGACTTTATACCGAAAACGAAAGAAAGCTGCATTTCTTTTCGCTAGTTCTTATTTCAATATGCCATCTAGAGTTGTCAACGTAAGATAATATTTGCTTCATAAGTAAAAGTTCTGCAGATTATGAGAATAAAAGAAAGTCAGGACAGGGCATAAACTGCATTACAAAATATTACTCAACTGTTAGAATTAAGCTTAGAAGCTTAATTTAACAAATAATAATAACGCGCGTGAAAATGAAGTGTCAATGTGTGCGAAATTATTAGTATGGTAAGCTGAAAAAGAGCATTATGGTTTATATATAGTTTCGGGATTTACCATCAAAGGCGTTACTGTATTTTTTTTTAATATGTGTACACACACTAACACATAGCTTATATGTACGTAAGAGCGAGAAGCTTAATTAGATAAAGACTGATTATCAATCATTTTCTCTGTTCCTCGTGCACAAATACACATATCCATATGTCTAATGGCATCGATAACGTCGTAACGAAATGTTACCAATCACTTTATTACCGACACTTCCCGGGTAGAAATTAATCGGGACGTGCCCCAGTTCTGTCGTGGCTTTAGATAGGCACGCCCCAAGATAGGCCTGTCTTCGTTGGGCCTAGATAATGCCTAGAAAGACAACTCCAGAATAGAATTTCATAAATAGGCCCTGAATAGGCACTGATGTGGATGCTCGTAACAAGGCTTACGGCCCAGGATCACAGGGCCCAGTCAGGGCCTAGTTAGATTTACAAAACTGGTTCTAAATTGTACGAGCGTCATATTTTTGTGTAGGGCCTAGATAGAACTAGAGAAAAATTGTGTAGAGGCTTTCTAGTATCCGTTTTAAATTTCTACCCGGATTCTGTCGGAGTTCGGCAACCACTCTGACATCCCCTTAAATTAAAACACCTTAAATCTCAGATTCGCTTCGCCGTTTATTTCTCGGATTTTAATGATTACACTGATAGAAGATTAAAGTTAGTTTCGGGGCAGAACATATAATATAAGCATAAACATATAATATAATAGTAGCAACATTGATATAAGGTTATTATCATTGGCACTATAATAACACTTACTAGAAAAATAGACATACCAGAAAATTCTCCTGACTATTTATGTGATTAAAGGATATGTTCGGCGCCGAAACTAACTATAATTTTCTATCGGTGTGGCTGAATCTTCGCGGCCACATAATCCACGCGTCTAATTTCCAGGTCTCTGCATTTTTGAATCATCCGGCGGGAGAGCGTGCGTGCGAGAGAATAAAAAAACCCCCGCAACAATACCACATTGCGCAATTCCTGCGGACTTTACAATTCACGAGACGATATATACATGCCACGTGGGCGCTCGCGCGGACGCACGGAGCACAAAAGCAAAACAGTAGTTACAGCAAACGAGTCGCGAGATTGCGGCTGGTGGAGTCGGTGAGCGCGGGCGTATGTATGCGGCCCGTTGCGACTCGTTAAAAGTGCAGCGCGGCGTGGCTAAACTCCAGAAGTCAATAAAGAGATAGTGCACAGTCGCCCAGCTACGCAAGAGCAACAAAATATTTCACGTTAAACCGGCGCGAGTGACCCCGGAGGCGAAGTTTGCCGAGTAATATTAGATTACGGCCGGCAACGTGAGCGTTTTCGTACGTCACGCCGTGCATTATCGATGCTTTTACCGCTAACGACGCTTTTAGGGGCCGCTTTTCGAAAGTGTGTGCAACACTCACTTTCCGCGATTCCGCGAGGCGGACGATTGACGTGACACCACGCGAGACTCTTTTCTTCGGATTCTGCGTCGAAGATCGCTTTCCGTGCTACGCGACGCGAAGCAACACCATGCGATCGCGGAAGTCACCGACATATATTGTACTGGCAATAGTACTGGATAGATCATGGAATCGAAACCGTGTTGAGAGATGTGGAAAAAACAGAACGATATGTGAGTAGTAGCTGCTCGTATAAACTGGAACTATGAAGTATGAAAAAATTCTAAACAGATTTCGTTTTACTGTTACATGTTTCCTTCGTATGATAAACAAATAGAAACCACATTTAATAATTATTTATCATATATATACAGAATATCCTAGTTCAACATGGACAAATTTTGTGAGAGCGAAGCATAGATTGAAATGAACAAAAAAGCCCCGTATTTTGCAAACAACACGCAGAATTTCGAGTTATTAATTATTGAAAATGACCATGTGTGACTATAACGACATCATTATGTTGAATCTTCAAATCTGGAACTTGTACAACAACCGTCATATACTTGTAGATTGAACATTACTCTGAATAGAAAAGTTCTTTATCATTTCGCAAATAACACGCAAGTTTTTTAGTTATTATTTACGAAAATCTTTATACATGGCCATTTTCAATCATTAATAACTTGAAATTTTGCATATTGTATACAAAATAATAGAGAACTATTTGATTCGTCTTAATCCGTTCTACACGCTTGTTAAGTTTGTCCATGTTGATCTGAGATATCCTGTATAATAATTTTAGTTCTGCGCAACGTTTACAGCGTTATATATTTATAAATTGCAAGGGTATTTTCAGCTTTTGTAAATACGATACCGTTCCCCTTCTTCTTAGGCAAAATTCAACTAATGGTAAGAGAGTAGAAGGAGAGATCCGTGCCCAAACACCTACTTTCCCTTTTCTAAATCTCTCAACGCGAAAAATCGAAGAAATCTTGCCGCTCCGTCCTGCACAATATGTCGATAGCAGGAGCACGAGACTACGCGTCATTAATAACGCGCGAACGTACACGTGTACGCGCGCCCCAAGTTTTCCGCGTGTGTGGTGTATCGACAGGCAACAGCTGGGACATTAACCTGGATACATGCATGGATACGAGTTCGGCGCCGCCAATAAAAGAATTGCTCCGATCCGGCTTTTCCGACGTAACCCGTCGCCATCGATCGGCCGCGTGATAAGAGATTATGCTCGATTTTATTTAAATTCCCTCTTGCATCCTCGAGAACGCACGGATACCGACAAGGACAGAACAGGCGGAACGCGCGCTGTGTGCCCGATAGAATCAATATAGAGATTCTTTTTTTAGATTGATCGAATATAGTACGGTAATGAAGTATGACGGCGAAACGTCGAGCGCACGTCGGGATTCTCTCAAGGCCACGAAGATAGGACGTTACGCGGTTACATGTAACCGATTTCCTTGAAGTTAAATATGTACCGGAGAGAAAGAGAGAGAGAGAGAGAGACAAAGCGAGCGTTAAACGGACGGTGAAGGTGATTGTCGTTGCGCGTGCAGCGCAGCCGCGAAGTAAATATAAACGAACGTCGTCTTTATTTTTACACTCGCTCTATTGATAACGATATGATTTTTAATATTCCATCAATGAAACATTCCCATTGACTCCGGCCGATAAGTTCTACAGAGTATCATGCCGCGTTAATTACCTGGTTGGAAAACAGTCCGCTCGGAACTCTCTCTCTCTCTCTCTCTCTCTCTCTCTCTCTCTCTCTCTCTCTCGGTGTAAAAGTAAACAGCGGTGAAGCTCACCGCAGGATTCCAGCCTCACATTCAGAGTGTACCCGCATTAATCCCGTTAAGTGCGTGATTACGCTACTCTGCGCGTCGCTAACAAGCAACAAGCGTCATCGCGCGACGCCTCCGTTATATTTTCTGATATGTGAGCTATATTGTCCCAAAGTTTCCGATGTGTACGCGACGCTCGGCTAAAGGAGCTATTACGGTGTACGCTCGCGCTCGCGAGCGAAGTGTCTGTCATCTCGCGTTTAATTAATTACACGCGAACTTATACGTCGCGCGCGCGTGCGCGCGCACTCGGGCGTGTTCGCCTCAGCCTGTGGCGCTTGGCGAGCTTACAACGTTCGCGCGCGCAACGTTACAAGTGGCACGCCACGATACCGCCCTGCCTGTGTATAATTAGATTTATGGTCACGCTTTGATACCGCTTAATTCTTCGCGCCGTAACAGCAGGCGCATAGTTATAGTTGCGTTAGGCTAATATAAAGCCAAGAGATAAACGGAGGAAGGGAGAAGACGAAGGGATAGATAGGTAGATAGATAGATAGATAGAGAGAGAAAGAGAGACCGGGTCCTGCCCCGAAATGCGAATATCTACCGATCCGTATAAGCGCGCATTAGCCTCTCGTGTAATTATAACGCGGCAATTAGTCAGCAGGAAAGCGCGCCCACGTATTACAGCGCGCGCGGCGACGTGCGGACCTCTCTTCCTTCCTTTCGACCGACTCTACAGGCTTTCCCTGCTTACCGAGCGGCAGGTCCTACGGTCGCTGCAGCTGAAAGTTTTATGAGCTAACGTTTTCGCATGCCGTCTTTCGCCACCGTGCGGTGCGCATCTCCGTGCACGGAGAAAAAGACGTCATGCTCGGTGTCTCGGTGCTACGCATTCTTTCCGTGAAACTTTTCCCCAAACTTTCGGAGACCGCCCCTGCCTCGTGTCACG